TGTGTGCACATGAATACAAAAGGAGCAGAAGGAAATGCAACAAAATGGTGGTATACACACACCATTGTCTTTGAGCAGCAGCATTACGTGGGACAGTCTTTTGTTCTACGTGCTTCCGTGTATTTTTCAAGTATCCTACAATACTCTATGTTGATATCATGATGAGTAAAAGAAAGACCCTCCTAAAAAAGCTTCCTGGGGCTCAAGCAGTCACCTAGATAGTAACACATAAGGTGACGTGAAGGGCAAACGTGCCATCTGGGCTCATGGCCCTGCGGCAGCCAGGAAAGACCACACATCACTTGAATAGCTGATCTAGGGCAAGTCCTTTGGACTTCTGCCCTAGGGAATCTCGAAGCCATAGTATATGTACATTCTGGAAGCTGACCAGAATGTGTGGGCCTAACTTGGGCATTTACAAAACCATTACAAAGTAGATGGTTTTAAAAAACCTACTTGGGTGAGAAACTGAGACACTACCAAGTTTGTCATTTCAAATTTAGATTGCCCTGGAGTCCACTGGGTCTTTATCCATATTTGCAAGTTTCCAAAGAATGTAATATTTTGAAACATAAAAATGGCACAATAACAACTCATCACTCAAAAAAAAAAAAACAAAAAACAAAACTTTCCCCAAAAACTCCAAAAATAAGTAAGTAAAAAGTAGTAGGTAACCAGAAACCTATGTAAACTTCTTTTGTTTTTTAAAGATTTATTTATTAATTTTAGAGAAAGGGAGAAGCAGACTCCTTGCAGAGCCCATAGTAGGGCTCAATCTCACAACCTGAGATCATGATCTGAGCTGAAATCAAAAGTTGGACACGCTTAACCTTAACTCACTGAGCCACCCAGGAGCCCCTGATGTATCCAAACTCTTTTTTTTTTTTTTTTTTTTTTTTTTTTTAAAGATTTTATTTATTTATTTGCCAGAGACAGAGGGAGAGAGAGTGAGCAAGCACAGGCAGACAGAGAGGCAGGCAGAGGCAGAGGGAGAAGCAGGCTCCCCGCCAAGCAAGGAGCCCGATGTGGGACTCGATCCCAGGACGCTGGGATCATGACCTGAGCCGAAGGCAGCCGCTTAACCAACTGAGCCACCCAGGCGTCCCGGATGTATCCAAACTCTTAAAAAAGATGAAAGAGAAGATTTTTCTATACAAAGTAAATATCATATGAAATTATCTTAATAGGGAAAATCAATCCAATTATGGCAATGCTAAAAGATGATGACACAGATAAAAACAATCAATGTGCATGGGACATCTCTCCACTAGAATTTCTAAATCTTTGTGCTCCTATTACATACTAACTTAGACTGCATTTATTTGTAAATATCTTCAATCTCTTACTATTTTTTAAACCTCCTGAAGGCAAAAATCAAGTGTTTCAATCCCTAGAAAGTTTTGCATATGGCAGGCAATTAATCAATGGTTCAAATGATCAAATAGTGTAATATCGATGAGAGGATATAACGATGAATGATGTACTATACCATATTCAAAGGATTTAATGAAAATCCAGAAAAAATATGGTACATCGGGGTCACAATGGCATGAGAAAATGCTTGCCTAGAGATAAATCAATAATAGCTAGAAATCCCCTCCTTTTTGAGAGATTAGATGTTGGAAGAAAAGGGGTCATTATATACAGTGTCATTCATTATGTGTTCTTGAAAAACATCCTATTCTGCAAAATGCACTAAAAATAACAGGACTTAGCGGGGGAAAGTAGGCTGGGACAGACAGCTCAACATCTGTTTAACTTTATAACAAAAGCATCAACAAAAACACTGACAATACTATTTAAATTACTAGCATGGTTCAATCACTCCTGACTAGTGTCCTTAGCAGCCTTAAACCCCAGGACTCCTGCTTCTTTGAGATGTAGGTCATGGAGGGCATTCATTGCTGAGAAAGACTATTTTCATAAAAATTAACCTGAGGATTATTAATCCACTGTTTTAATATAGTGGGGATGTCTTTGCGACTTCTTCATTTGCACTGGTAGCAGTTCACTGCATGAAAAGAAAGACATTGCTGTAGATTTTCCATTGTTTTCCCTATGGTCTTCACATTTCAGTAAGCCTGACTCTTCCTTCCACTGTGAGACAGCTTGATATTGATTGTTAAGAAACATTTCATGTGCTGGGAAAATTCATGCTGGAAGCACCACAACTTCTAGGTTCTACTAGCATCATTTCTAAATGCACGTGAGATAATTAGGTCAAAGAACAGACTGGTAAGTGGCTAATGCAGGTGCTGGCATATAGGATCTCAGATTATAGTGGGAGTAGTTGTAACCGTTGTAATGATGATAGCTAGCAACATTGACTGGGGTTTACTGTGTGCCAGGCATGATGCTAAATACTTTATAAGAATTATTTCATTTATTCTTCACACAGACTTTATGAAATAGATAAAGCAACAGATATTCAGTAAGACTAAGTATTAATCTCTGCCCAAAGTGACAAAGCTGTTAAGTGGAGAAGCTAGAATTTGAATCTTGATCTTTCTGACTCTACGGTTCAGATTTTAATAACCACAATGGAGCAGTATTTCTCATCCAGTGAAAGCCTGAAGTGACTCTACAATACTCACAGACAAGGTAGTCCGATGTGCTTTATCCTACTGGTACATGTGAACATAAATGTTGATATATGTACCTAGAAAACCACGAAGCATTGTAGAGTGCTTATTATTTTTCCAGATTTAAGCTTTCTGGCTAGGATGTAAGGAAAAATCTCTGGACAAGCCCAAACGAGAATTCCAGAAGCATGACACCTCCTTTTCAGTTCTTTCCAGCTGGGTCACAGACCTGCTGTGATGACTCAGGCTATGTAAGGGCCTTGGAATGGACACACAGGCACACTTCTGAATCCCACACAAGACATCAGGCTGTATAGGGTGGGGGTGGAAGGAATTATGACTGGGGAACTCATACCCAGCGAGAGCCAGGATTTTAGGCATGAATGCCAACAAAAGAATTCTGGTAAAATTTTGGTGACCTTTAACAACTGTGGATTCTGTACTTACTAATGGACCTGGAATTAACTATGGCAAGTAGTAGGGCTACAAAACTGAGTAATCTATTAACATCTCACAGGCCTGTGGAGTTACCTGTGGGCATTTCATTGAACATACTCTTTGCCACGCACTCTTCTTGGTACTTTACAGGTATTAACTCATTTAATTCTCATAGCCCTGTGATATATATAATAGTCTGTTGTCTTCCCCCTTTTTTTTTTTAAAGATTTCATTTATTAATTTGACAGAGAGAGATCCCAAGTAGGCAGGGCGGGGGAGGGGGGGAAGCAGGCTCCCCACAGAGAGACCGATGCAAGGCTCAATCCCAGGATCCTGGGATCATGACCTGAGCCGAAGGCAGAGGCTTTAACCTGCTGAGACACCCAGGCACCCCTATTCTCCTTTTTTTTTTTTCATAGCTGGTGAAACTCACATGCAGAGAGGTTAAGAAGTTTGCCTAAGGTCACATAGCTGGTGAGAAATTTGGACTTAGGCTACTTAAGTTCAAAGCCTGCCTTCTTAACGTCTTCCCTAAATTCTCTCTTCAGCACATGGAGAAGAAGAGGTTAAAAATTGTAATGTGGGGTGTTAAGAAAAAATTATAGACCTCCATACACAGTGGAATGTTAGTGGAGGAGTGACTAATTTTGCTATGGGTGGCTGGGGTGGGGAGGGCCTGCTGGGAGGAGTGCCAGGTCAGCAAAGCCTTCACAGCAGATGTCAAATAGCTCTCCAGGACAGCAGACCAAACAGCGTGGGCAAAGGCATGGGGTGGGCGATGGCCTGGCACACTTGCTGCTTGCTACTGTTGATACATAAAGTAAAAAGGGGATGGGTGGCAGAAGATGAGTGTGTACAGAAGCAGGGAGAGATCCGACAGAGGAAGATTTTGGTTCTGTGAATTGGTCATCCCGAGGAGTCTGTGTTCAGGTGGGACATACTGCAGTAGGTTTTAGAAGGGGAGGGTGATGGGAGTCATATGACCAGATCTGTGCCGTCGGATCTCGCCGCAGTGTGAAGGATGAAATGACGTGGAGGATGGGGGTGCTGGGAAGAGAGGGCAGAACCTAGAAGGAGGGGCTGACTCCACCTAGGAGACTGTTACTAGCAAGCCCAGCGAGAAGCTGGTGATGGCAATGGTGAGGAGGCATGAGCTGGGAGAGTTTTGAGAATTGGGGGGTGAACTGGCTGGGGAAGCAGGGTGGGAAAGGTTTTTAGGGGCAAGCTTGATGCGTATTCTTGTTCTCCTCACTGTGTGATCTGGGTCAGCTCCAGATCCCTGCCTGGGAAGTGGGGCTTAAAAAGGCACTGCATTTTCAGGTGTATGGAATTCAATGTGGTTAATAACTAATTCCGGGTATTGTGACTTTCACCTTCTTTCCTATGGTGTGAAAAGCCTCCCTGAATAAAACAACAATGCTTTATTTGCTGATGATGATCAGTTTCATGATGTGTCCTACATAGTCCCATAGCAACTCTGCCTATTCACGGGGGATGCCCAGTGACAGATAATTACCACCTGCTTCCCTGCACTGTACTAATGATCATGGATCTCATTTTACCTTAGCTCTGGAAGGGACTGACAGTCAAAGATGGGAAAATTACTACACTCCTAAGACTGGTGGAGAAAACCAAGGATCAAAAGCCAAACAGAAGTTACGTTCCATGCTTGCAACTTCCTGTTCCCCCTAAGCTGGTTGGCACCTGCCTTTCTGCTTTATTCCAGCCACTAAGTGGGAAACTCTTGGGCTCTAAGGAGCTGCTGACGTTCAGGAGCGAAGCCCACTCAGCAGAGGGCGAGGCCACAGCTGGGAGGATGACTCATGTTGGATCCAGAAAGAAAACAAATGGTCTTGAAGATTTGGTGGTAATGGGGTAATAGTTAGGGGGAGGATATGTGGTGAGGGCTCCCTGCCTTTTCCAGGAAATTGGTTAGTGAGACAATTCTGGTGCAAAAAGACTTAAAAAAAATGCACTTACTGATACAAGAAATCAGATCATTAAATCTTTCCTTAGGAAAGAGGGGGTTTTCCAGCCCACGGAAATAGAGCTTCAGAACGCCAGCCACTGAGTTAATATCATGGTTACTCTGGTCATCAGCTAAAGGGTTTTCACCTACAAAAAAAGAAAAAATTAGTTACATACACAGTGCTTTTCTTTTTTTTTTTTTTTCTGAACAAAAATATGTTTCTGTACTCACACGTTTCTATATATACATGTATCTTTTAATTACACTTTATGAAAGATTATATAGTACTAAAATTAAAAATAATTGGTTTAGATATCCCAACCCATGATTAGCCTAAAAATAGTTGGCTAAAATAAAGCTTTTAAAAATCTTAATGCTACCAAATAATCCCTTACAAGTTACCCAAATCTTAAAGTATTGTGGGACATCATAAAAATCTAATCTTAGCTTGACATGAATTCAAATAGGACATTCTCTGTTTTTTATCCTACTGGGAAGAAGATACCATATAGACACAATATCAGAAATAGTATAGGATGCACCTAATTGTGAATGCCTACAATTAAATAAATGTTTCCTGAAGTGGCCTGGTGGCGTTCATGGCGCATTGGAAAGCTGCATTCGGCAGTGGGAGATTTGGAAATCAGACAGAGGGATCTGAAAACGTATCCTTAATAGTACCAAGGGACTTGTATAAAAAATAAAAACTTAAAAAATATATCACAAATATGAAATTATGTTAATCTTTATTGCAAGCAGTTTTAAGATGTACATAATTGACATGGCTATTCCACGTCCCTGAGAATTAAATTGAGATAAAATCCTTGAGAAATTCAACACAATATGCAGCCTTAAATCAAACTCTATTTTTTATTCACAGGTCTGTTCTAAAGTTCAACAAAAATTGTATATTTTAACTTTTTTTTTTGCCTCTTGGGCAGGAAACTGATGCTTTATACATTTCAACCTATGCTGAATATGGTTCCTGTAAGAGACTTGGATCACTTTGCTGCTGAGAGGGGAGGCTGCTCTGCTCTACACATCCTATCAGTCAGAGAACTTGGAACAGGAAAAACAATCTGGATCCAAGTTTACCTCTTCCACCAAGCTTTGAAACATTCAAGGGCTCCCTGCCAAGGGAAAAGGGACAGAGAAAGAGAGAAGGGTGCCCTGTCTCCATGCCATGATGCCCCTCATTCTGTGGCCAAGCAGAGGAAGGAAGGTACAGATGTATCCCGGAGTAGACATGATAGAAATCATTATAATTGAGGCACGTTAATAAATAAGAGCCATCCCTACGGAGTTACCCATTTTCACTGATGATACCTAATCCTCACCCTGATCCTGGAATTCTGCAGGTAATGAAACCGAGGCCAAAATAGGAGACGATTAACTTGGCCGAAATCAAATGATTAGTCACTGGAAGAGTGATTTGATTCTGGCTCTGCCTAACACTATAGTGTATGGTTTTGCTAATTATAAGGTGCGAAGTAAGAGTTCAGTAGGATTTATTTGACAGCCAATGATCAACAAGAGTACGCTACCCGCTAAGGTGCCAGGGAAGGAGTCTGGGGATGGTAATAAGAGGAAGGAGAGCATTTCCGACATGCAGTAGGGATGAGTCACCTCCAACACCTTCTAGGTAGGCTCAGGGCTATCCTGCCGCTCTTCTAGAACCTTCTCATGGGTTCTCATGCCACCTTTCACACACATGCTGAGAATGATCAATGCCCATCCTAAACCAGGATACCAAGCTCCTATGCTGTTTTATACTTGATAACAAGGTCTTATGATTTTGGCTTCATTTCTCAGCTATGCTAAATAGATTTTTAAATCAACATCTAAAATGAAGTGAATGCAAAGAGAAAGATTTTGAGGATCTACAGAACGAGTATGCCACTTCACTCGAGAGCAGCTGACGGCTTTTTAACATGGCTTGTGTGTGGGTAGAGACATACAATTACCTCTCTCAAATGAATTTTTAATATCATTGACCTCCACCTGGGAACCAGACACTCTGAAAATCCCCTGATGCTGAAGACCTAAAAAGAACAGAAGAGGAAGAGGATGAAAAACCCCATCACAACCGTTAGGTCCCTCTTTCCCCAATAATCAAATGTTAAATGAAAAGACATATCTACTATACTCCTAGTGATTATTACTTTTTAAGTAAGAATTTCAGGGGCACCTGGCTGGCTCAGTTGGTGGAACATGTGACTCTTGATCTCAGGGTTGTGTGTTCAAGCCCCATGTTGGGTGGAGAGATTTCTTAAATAAATAAATCTTAAAAAAAAAAAACGAAACCCAAAAAATAAAATAAGAATTCCATAGTTTATGGCTTACCATAGAGGTTGATGAACCGAATACAGCTTTCCACAATGAGAGGGATAATCTGTCCTGAGTCCTGGGTAAAGAGATGGAAACCAGTTAACCACAGAGAGGCATAAATCACACATTAAAATAAAGTTCACAGTTTAGCCCTAATTCAAGAGGGCTTTTTTACTCTTTTAGAGGATCATTTTCAACTCCCCCCTCGAAAATCTTCCACTAAGGCCAAAAATAAAATCATATTTAACCTAAGGTGTATCTCGTTCTGGAGCAAACCACATTCAATACATTTATTGCAATCCTGTTTCAGTGTCCTCTGTTGTGCCTCGAGATGTCAAAGCGAATTCATCTCTTTTACTTATATGGAGGCTCATGTATCAAAGTGAATACATGAATCGCTCCTCTTTTTAAGGGTTATTTATATAAGTAATTACTCTAATGGACCTAAAGAGAACTCTGTGTATTCTAACCACAGCATCTTAGGACTGACTGGCCGTACTGGTCACTACACACAGCCTTTCAGACATGCCGGGACCCTCTTGGTGACATCCCGAGAGTACACCGTCGGGATGACAACATGCTTCCAGATGCATGACAGGAGGAATGTCTTCTAGATGATCATAATGTGTTACATATTTGTTTGGTTTGCATCAGAACTTACTCATCCTTATAGATTTTTCATCGTTATTTTTACATGTTTTAAGGATTATGAAAAAATGGCCCAAATGCACGTCCCATTAGACCCCGTTTTCTGAGGAAGGGGCAGTTTTGTGGCCCCTTTCCCTATATCTTGTAATAGAGTCAGTGCACTCTGCTGAACAAGTGTGAATTCTGGAAATGTTTTAAAACACGTGTAGGATGATAGATGAGATGGAGGAGCTGCCGGGGTCACAGTTAATTACGCACCAGTGCCATGCACTCCAAGTGGTTAAAGACAGGTACCGACTGTGGAGTTCATGCTCATATACCTTCAAAGACTCTGCTCTTTCAGGAATTAGAGCTTTACAGGAAATGTGGAGGTTCAGAATGATTAGCAGACATCGGTTACTAATGCATGAGGAATTTTATTCTGAACCGCATGAAGAATTGGGATGTCTTAATATATGAAAACAATTCAGAATCTACTAACTTTTCCAAATAAGCAACAGGGGAAGGATTGGGGATAATGCAGCGGAGCCATTAAACTCTTAACTATTCCTAGGATGGCTCATATAGTTCTTGAGGAAGAGTTTTAGTTTAGGTTTTAAGACCATCTAATCAGCGTGTGAACCAGTTAGTGCTTCAATCACTTCTGGAGATTGTATCAAGTTTCTCTAATTAGTTTTTTTTTTTTTGTTTTAGGGATGTACACTTTATTAATTTCTTAAAGAAGGCCCTTAAGAATAAACATTCTTTAGTGTGGGCTAGTTGGCTCAAAAATAGCGATGTAATTACACCAACACTTACTGTGAGGGGATACTTCTTTAAAATACAAGTGTGTTTTAGGGGAGGTAATCTTTAAATGACCGTTTCACTTAACACTGTAATCTAAAAGAGCAACAAATATTTAAATGTAAGTGATAAAAGGAGAATATTAGTTTGCACCTCTGATGAACTTAGTATTAAAACAAAAAGAAAGAATAAAATATTAAAAGAAAAATGTTTGCACTAAGAAAGTTCTAAATAAAAATGCCTTAAGTTTTCATATTATTTAAAAAATATTTTCGTCTTTACATTTCCTCAAGATAATCACTAATCTTTTGCTTAATGTCAGTATTATATTTGGATACAATGAATTCTATGGTCAAAAAGTAATGTGTGTGTGTGTTTTAATTTGATTTCATGGATGCCAGATGCTTTGGTAGAAAATAGTTTACAAGAAGTGAAACAATGGGCTGTGCTCCACCCACCATTCAAACAAACAAACAAGAATAATAATTAAAAAAAAAAAATCCCTCTGTGCATCAGTTTCCCCCTGGGAAAAAGGAAAAATGGTTTGCTCTTGCTTTCTCACAGTGATATTGTGGGGACCTCGAGTGATGGAGCACTTTCCAGAAGGGCAGAGATCTCTGTCTCCACTGTTTTACTGCTATGGCTGAAGATTCTTTAATATGCCATCTGGGACCTGGAAGAGCTCACCTAAGTGCATTTCCCAAGATAACTGGTTTACTCCTTCTTTAGTCCCTATAATTTGGTTTCCATTAACTGTTCTTAATGAAAAATCTTTTAAAAATATAATATGAGCTGTCCTGTTATCTTCAGCAGTCATTCTTGTACTGTGTTATCAAATAGAACGGAATCATACCCTTGTTTCTTTGAGCTTTTCTCTATGTTTTCTCTGCCAGACCATCAGCTGCATATCTCAGTGCTTTCATCTAATCTTTATCTTCCCTTCTCTCCAGCTAATTTGCCCCTGCTTATAAGCCTTGGGCTGGGAAGCTAGCTAATCAAGTCTGACAATAATTTTATATAAAATTAGAGCCAAGAAGGCTCTTTGGAGGCTGATGGCAGTGGGTTTGTGATGGCAATTTGGGCTGTCCAGTGGCTTTTCACTTAATACCAAGGTTAGGGCTCGTTTTCAAGGCTGCCAGAGGTCCTCAGTCTCTCTCTGTGTGTGTGTGTGTATGCACGTACATGTGTATGTGTCTGTCCATGTGAATATGACACACACACACACACACACTTTTTAACCATTAGTGCCCATATTTGATAGAAGATCTGTCTTTAAAGAAACTAAGACATCCATAACATATTATTAAGGGAATCACGAATGATGAGGTTTTCTACATAAATTTAGTCTTCAGGAACACTGGAATCCATGACATAAAATGTTAGGCACGAAAGAGAAAGAAAGCTCTTCTCTTTTTTGTGCAATTTATCTGAGGGTCTGTAATCCAGTATTAATGCACATTTGGCATTTAACACTGACTTCCCTTAACGAAAGCCCTTGACTCAAATTTGGTACAACTGTCAAACATGTAATGTAAAAACTGTTTATCTGCTTTTGCTAGAAGAGGCAACTCCTCTTAAATCAGTGTTCGAATTTTTGTACCTCTTTTCTATAGCAGATAGGTAGGAATCCATAAATAGTAAAGCTTATTTTTCAACCTGATTTCCAACTGCAAACATTTTTCTTTCAAAGACCTTCAAAATCCAATTAAAGCCAAGCATGATTATGATTTGAAAATTATATCAAGAGCAAAAGAGGCTGTGGCCTCGCCTCCCTGCAGCACTATACCTGATGTCTTGCGTGTGAGTTCCTTCGTCCTCGGCTAGAAGCATTATCAGAGGTACAGGGTGAAAAAGAAGACAGAGTAAACACAGCAGAGATCCAAGATACAGACCGCAGGGTCTTACCATTTCTCCAATATAATGAATTCCTCAAGTCACGGGAAATCCAAACTTTAGCCGTGCTTCAGAGATCCCCTAACAATGTACTTTAAAAATAGATTCTGTGCCATCTAATTTGCACGAGTAAAAATAAAATATTTTATCAGGTAAGCTCTTTTCCTTTTTGCCCAAATTATGGCTTTTTTTTTTTTTTTAAAGAAAGAAAGAGGGCTTACTTTTTTGCCAACATAATACCCACATGTATTTCCTCCTCTGAAGGCACTCAAACCAAATATTCTTTCCTCTCTGACTTCAGGAAATATTATATTGATTTTCTGGGAAAGCAAAGAGCCCCAGGACAGACTTGGACATAATGACCTGCCTCCTTTTACGAGAGGCTGAGACCATTATAGGAAGAAGCGTGGAGATCAGCCACCCAGATGGCTGGTGCCAGTACCTTGACGAATGTTTCCAAATCCCCATTAAACAACTTAGCATTATACTGTGAGCGGGGTCTGGACTTCCTGTGTTTCTGGGGCTTAGGGGGAACATTTGGAGGCCTAAGGGAAGGGAATATAATTACTGAGCATGGCAGAAATCAAACAATGAATGAAATACCCATAGGTCACAGCAAAATCACAAAACAGGATTTCTTGTGTGCCCCCTCCACCCACCCCCCCAACATGGGGGAAAGGAGTCCTTCCCCTTTCCCATTTATTTACTTTTACTTATGTCATAAAAAATGATACAAACTATTCCTCAGATGACCCTTTTCTTGTACACTGCATATGACATTTGTTTGCTAGTTTGTTTAAAAATGGAATTGTGAGCTATCTGGCCAAGTGTTATAAACTTGACCGGCTTATGAGTCACACGGAAGACACAATGAGTCATAAAAATCTGGGCTCTCGATAAATCCCAATATAAGAAATTAAATATATTTAGTTACAACATAATTCGTCAATGCAAGTAATGTCACATCTGTTCAATAGTCCTCAGATATTAATGGGGTTTTAGTTTATGCAAAAGTAAGTATTAATGGGGTCACAAGTGAAAAATGAGTTTGGTTCCAATGCTTTCTCGGGGAGGAGGTAGATACAGGCTCATATGAATGATTATTTCTTTATAACGAACTATCTCATCGCTTCAATATTTGTAGAGCATTAGCACACGTCATTTATTCTGCTCTGAACTCTCCATCTCCAGTCTGTTTGCTCTGGTGGCTGCGCCAGTCTCTCTAACACACATACAACCAGTGCCCCACGTGCTCCTTAGACCCTGTAGTTTCTTGCTCTGTCGTCGAGAGCCGGGGCCTCTTCTGTCCTCTTCCTTTAGAGCAAAGACGCCACAAGTACCTGACTCAGCTTCTCCAACTGTACTGAATGGGACACAGGGAGGGAGAGTGCCAGGACATTCCAATTTTAACTCCTTCTTCATGGGAAGGCTTACAGGAGGGCATGCGTCACACTTGGAAATTGGGTAAGCCCTTTGTTATGCTGCAAACTGTCTAGAAAGAATTACCTTTTCAGTTCACTGACGTTCAGAAAGGCCAGGTTAGAAACAAAATCCCAAGGACATGAGGAAGCCTGATTAGATTCGTAAGAGATTACCATAATCTGGAGCTATCAAGAGAGGTAGGGGAGCAAACCTGACAGGCTTCCACAGTCGGATTCTAGGACTCAGCTTGTAGGTGGGCTCCTAGGATTAACGGGGTGTACAGTGAGCAGCACCCAAAGTCCCACATGCTTGAGAGGTTAAGAGGAGTTTTTTCAAGAGTCCAGAGGTGCATATGGAAACTTCCACTAGGCAGTATGCCATGGCCTGCTGAAATTTATGAAACCTCTTTTATATACTGATTCTGGGATATTCACAGAGGAAAGGATCTGGTGGGCATAAAAACCAGAACAACTTTATGTGTTTAACCAAGGAGTTTAACCTTATGTGCTTGATTTCATCCAATCTTTTCATTACTTTGCAAGTATTTTTAAATAAAAGATTTTAAAAAATAATTAATTTGTTTTAGGGGGTGGAGGGGAGGGCCAGAGGGAGAGGGTAGAAAGAGAGCCTCGAGCAGACTCTACACTCGGCACAGAACCCAACTCTGGGCTCGATCTTGCCACCTTGAGATCACGACCTGAGCCGAAACCAAGCATCAGTGCCCAACCAAATGCACTCCCAGGTGCCCCTCATTATTTTACAAGTGTTTTAAAATGCAGACTTTATTTTTATTCAGGTATGGTGAGGCCAACAGGTCAGAAGCAAAGGCCACTGAAAGGACAGTTTACTACTCACACTGCCCAAGGGGAGGGGGCAGGCTACTCAATGGGGGAGGGGTACATGGGAAAGCACCAGGGTCAATCGGGAGGCAGAGGGAGTACAGGCAGTGCTGTGGTCTCCATGGGAAGGAAGGGGCAAGGGAGGGTAAGCAGGTTTAGGACTGGCTCGGTTGAACAAGTTTGGTGGGCTCTGGGGAATAGGGGTTGTCTGCTACTTGGCTTTGTGGTGATCAGGGAAAGGGGAAAGTGACCTTGAACGTGAAAGCCCGAAAAAGGATGGTAAAGGATGCAGCTGACAGTATAGGTCTGGACTGGTGGGTCTGCACACTAAAGGCATACTTGTGAGCATGACCTTTACTACTTCTTGGAGGGAGTGGAAGTCTCTCCAAGGTCAGAAGGGCCCCAAGATAGCAAAGCATCTGACAGAAAAACCAGAAAACACAGTTATTACAAGGTCCAGCAGAGCTGCACACTTGGTGATGTCTGGAGCCACTGACGAAGCTAAGGGGATAAGAACAAAGCCTCATTTCGTGTGGTCACCAATTTATGGGACAAGCAAATCTTGTAGCTGGAGCCAAAGCCCCCTAAGTACAGCTAGATCATTGTTCCCGCATGACCGAGAGAAGCAGCATAGCCCCTGGCTGGGGCAAATGAGGACATGTCTTTTGAGTTGTCTACCAGAGGCCTGCAAGTTGCCTCTCCTGACGATTCTAAAGTATGAGGCAAATGCAATGCGACGAGACAACCATATCGAGAAAAACCTGACAGGAAAACAAAGTGCCCGGACGTTTATCAAAGTCCTTTTGGAGGCAGAGGTCGAAAGCCATCAGGCCCCCGATGGCTCTGGCTTTACTAGGCACACATCTGGTGGACAGAATCAGGGCTGTGCCACCCAACACTTGAACAGTATGATGCACGCTGGTTTGCTGGCTACCACACAGCCTGCCCATGTGGATGAGAGGAAGTCCGAGTCAGGTTGATGTGTGTATCTAGTCTGTCGGGCAGTGTCGGTTCTCACTACAAATTCACATATTTGCATTTCCTTTTAAAAGGAAACTTTTTTTCTTGAAGTGCTTTATGTTCATTATAATATAGAGACAAAAGTAAAGCAGTAGACAGCCCAAAGAGATGATATATATGAAAAAAGCTCCATCAACATCTTACTATGCAGAAGTAACACTCCTCTTTGTCACTGACGCAGGGAAGAAAGAAACCTCGGTGTTTTCCATGAGGTTTAGGCAAGTCAGTAGCTAAATCTTTCTAGTTGGTTCACCAAAAAGAGAGGCTTCCTTTTGAATAAACTGCCTAGTACAGACAATACAGAGCTTTGAAAGTCAACTTGCCAATTACCGCAACACACACACACACACACACACACACACGCACACGCACCCACAGACACCCCCCCTCAGTGTTCTAAATGCCTTTCACCTCAAAGAGAGCTCAACTTCAAGAGTGCAAAGTCTAGCTGTGTCAATTAGAATAATTTCTGGCTCTCACACAAAGGCTGGCACAGAAAAATAAAAGTTGCAAACTTTCCCCAACCCAAATCAGAATCTGTTCCCTAAAAGGCTTTTCTTTCTCAGCAGTGGCTTCAAAATCCCTTTACAAATGAAAAAAAGGGGGTGGGGAAGAAAGAAAAAGTGCAATATGGTTGTACTATTAAAACTTAAATCTTTAGGGGTGCCTGGGTGGCTGAGTGGGTTGGGCCTCTGCCTTTGGCTTGGGTCATGATCCCGGGGTCCTGGGATCGAGACCCGAGTCGGGCTCTCTGCTTGGCGGAGAGCGTCCTCCCGGCCCCCACCCCCGCCTGCCTCTCTGTCAAATAAATAAATAAATAAATAAATAAATCTTAAAAACAAAAACCAAAAAACAAACTTAAATCTTTAAAATGAACCAAAAAGGGGTAAGCAGCTAAAATCCCAAGTATTCGGTACAGTTCTAAGTTCTATATGACATAAGGAAAAGTAGGAGCAGAAAATAACTGATCATGCTTTCTATTTGCTAACACAGTAGATATGCACATAACATTGCTTGTTAAATTAAATGATCAAATCAGACTATTTCTAGATACTGAAAGTGTTTTGGATTAGATAAACCAAGCCCATTTGATTTAGGTCTTTCTGAAGCAGTCTATCATTAAAGAGCTTTACAATTACACTGGGAAACCCTCAGATCTGCTGGAGCAAATCTGGTTTTGTGAGAACCCCAAAGATTTCACTTTACTATGGTCTGTTGAGTCAAAACGATCTTCCATGTTCATTAACAAAATTAGTTCATTCTTGCAGCACTGAATGGTTGTTTGTTGTTAAGGGGAAAGAAAAAAAGGATGAGAAATAGAGTTATGATAAAATATTTTCCTACCTTGTAGTCATATACTCAGCTCTATGACCTGCAGGGAAAAAAAAATAAGTAAATGGAATGGAATCAGTGGAATGCACTTGGTAACCTGTCCCTTACTTTAAGATACTGAGTTTGTAATAACTTACACATTTTATGGTGGAAAGCATGAGGATAGCATATCATGAGAGACAAATAATTTGAAGTAAACATTTCATAAAACCTATACTTAAAATTTAATAAATCCTATAGATTGGAGAAAAATGTTTCACTTGGCAATTTGAGGCAGGGATATTTATTTGTTACTCAGGAAACATGAAACAGCTACTTGATCTTAACTGTAAGGTTAACAAAGAAATACAGATAAAACACATCCAAGGTTTGAATGTTAGTTGTTTCCTCTGTCTTGACTGATACTTGGATTAGAAGGTGGTCAAATTAGGGTGGGAAAACTCAATTTCCTTTATATTAAGTTGGTGTTCTTTCTATAATATCTAGTCAGGTGAGAAGTTGCATTTTATAATCAGAAATGACACTAAATTATGCTACATTCTACAACCTGTAAGCTAATAGCCTTTCAAAGTTCCCTGCCACCTAAAACAAGAGTTTCTTATATATTCAGGCTTCTTGGCTTGTTTTAAACACCGGCTCTGCATTTCTGTTGTGCTCCTACAATCTGTGCTAATTCCAAGTGTGAAGGGGTCTGTGGTTGCTGTCTGCTCTTTCTCATGTTTCTGGTGGAGCTGTGGGAGGGGTGTGCAAGAGGGAACCATTTCATTGGTTTGTTTGCAAAATGAGCACCCGTTTCTGAAACAGCCTGAAGCTACAGCTACCAGAGAAAGGTCACATTGCAGCACAAACAGGTACACCCATCCCATCATAATGCAGTGATTCCGATTTGCAGAACAAGGCCAGGATAACATTCGTAGAGAGAGCGGTCTTTCTGGAAATGGTGAATGCACCCTCCCAGGCAACAGAGTCTTTTACTCTATTATCTGCTTTTGAAGAGCAAGTAAAGAAGGATTTGATTAATGATCTATTTGTAAAAGGGGTGGGGGTGACAGTTAATGCCAGAGAATACCTTCTTTAGCCCAGACTCAGGCCACTGTAGGTCTACTAGAAGCCATGCTGGGCCCTGACTTGGAGTGGGTGTGGGAGGAAAGGGGAAAAATATAAAAAAATAGAACCCAGTTCTATTGATTTTTTAACTCGAACTCTCTTCCCTCTTTTGGCCTTTTGCTATTTTGATGGACAAGAAAAGTAGAGGGTGGACAGAGAACCCCAGAATAATTTCTAGCTGTTCTTAAGTATGAGAGATGGTCTGCTAGAAAGTGGTGTCTTCTGGGATATCCTTCGGCAGGAAGCTGGCTGGACAGGGTTAAAGCACAGAGACAAGACAGGGCTGGAGATTAAGATTTGACGGTCACCACCACTTAGGTTGTTCTGGGGCCACGGGACCTAGTTAAGATCACGCACAGGGAGTCAGGAAAATGAGCGAAAGGTTGAGGACAGAGAAACTAGCAGGTTTGTGCTGTACTGTATTCTGTCATGCTACAAACTTTATTATCACAGAAGTATGATGTCAAATATACTACTAACAACAAAAACAGCAATGATGTCTGATATTTATTAGATACTGTTCTAGGCACCTTCTATACATTAACTCACAATGTTCACAAAACCTTGGGAAGCAGGTAATGTTATTTTGATTTTATGGAAGAGACCAAGCATTTAGGAGGCAAGTGACTATGATTTGCTCAAGGTCAAACTGTTAGTATGTGATGCATTTGGCCCTAGGATCCAGGTTTGTTCCCCCTCCCCTCACACATTTACAAATCTTTTTTATTTTTTAAATTTAAATTCAAGTTAGTTAACATATGGTGAAATACTGGTTTCAGGAGTAGAATTTAGTGATTCATCACTTACAATTAACACCCAGGAGTCACCCCAACAAGTGTCCTCCTTAATGCCCATCACCCATTTAGCCCATCACCCTAATCACCTTCCCTCCAGCAACCCTCAGTTTGTTCTCTATAGTTGAGAGTCCCCTATAGTCTGCCTTCCTCTCTGTTTTTATCTTATTTTATTTTTCCTTTCCTTTCCCTATGTTCATGTGCTTTGTTTCTTAAATTCCACATATGAGTGAAATCAGATGATATTTGTCTCTTTGACTGACTTTATTTTGCTTAGCATAATACCCTCTAGGTCCATCCGAGTTGTTGCAAATGGCAGGTTTTCATTCTTTTTGATGGCTGAGTAATATTCTATTGAATATATATAAACCACACCTTCTTTATCCATTCAACGGTTGATGGATATTTGGGTTCTTTCCCAATAAAATAGTTGGGCTATTGTTGATAATGCTGCTATAAACACTGGGGTGCATGTGCTCCTTCGAATCAACATTTTTGTATCCTTTGGATAAATAATAGTGCAATTTCTGAGTCACTGGGTAGCTCTCTTCTTAACTTTTTGAGGAACCTCCATACTCTTTTCCAGAGTGGATGCGCCAGTATGTATTCCCACCAACAGTGCAAAAGCGTTTCCCTTTCTCTGCATCCTTACTAACACCTGCTATTTCCTGACTTGTTAATTTTATCCATTCTGACTGGTGTGAGGTGGTATCTCACTGTGGTTTTGATTTGTATTTTCCTGATGCCCAGTGACATGAAGCACTTTTTCATGTGTCTGTTGGCCCTTTGTATGTCTTCTTTGGAGAGATGTCTGGTTATGTCTTCTGCCCATTTCTTAACTGGATTATTTATTTTTGGGGTATTGATTTTGATGGGTTCTTTATAGATTCTAGATACTAGCCCTTTATCTGATATGTCATTTGTGAATATTTTCTCCTATTCCGTAGGTTGCCTTTTAGTTTTGTTGATTGTTTCTTTTGCTGTGCAGAAGCATTTTATCCTGAATAAGTCCCAACAATTCATTTCTGGTTTTGTTTCCCTTGCCTCCAGAGACATCTAGCAAGACGTTGCTGCAGTCAAGGTCAAAGAGGTTGCTGCTTGTGTTGTTCTTAAGGACTTTGACGGTCTCCTGTCTCAAATTGAGGTCTTTCATCGACTTTGAATTTATTTTTGTGTCTGGTGTAAAAAGGTGGTCCAGTTTCATTCTTCTGCACGTTGCTATCCAATTTTCCCAACACCATTTGTTGAAGAGAATTTTTCCATTGGACATTCTTTTCTGCTTTGTTGAAGATGAGCTGACCATATAGTTGTGGGTCCATTTCTAGATTATCTATTCTGTTCCAATGATCTATGTGTCTGTTTTTGTGCCAGTACCATACTGTTTTGATGATTATAGCTTTGTAATAGAGCTTGAAGTCTGGGATTGTGATGCCACCAGCTTTGCTTTTCTTTTTCAACATTACTTTGGCTATTTGGGGTCTTCTGTGGTTCCACACTAATTTTAGGTTTTGTTGTTCTAGTTCTGTGAAAAATGTTGATGCTATTTTGATCAGGTTTGTTTTAATTCTAGACCTGAGCTCCCAAGTAATATATCGTAAAGATATGTCTTATTCCCCAGAAAGTACCTTGAAAATCCTAAAAGAAAGGTAGGGATTATGGCTTATGCTTCTATCTCCCCCATATGGCTAAAGTCAAACACAAAATGCTAAGATGTACTAAATTATATAACACATATTAAGTTAAAATTTTAAAGTCCTGGGGGCCCTGGCTGGCTTGGTCAGTAGTGTGCGCCACTCTTGATCTTGGGGTTGGAAGTTTGAGCCCCATTTTGGGTATAGAGACTACTTAAAAATAAAATCTTTAAAAAATAAATAAAATAAAAATTTAAAGTATCTACAAAATTAAATGGATAATGGGTTAATCACTTTCAAGCAATTCAATGATAAAGACACTAATAACTCCTTCAAAATGAAATGTCTTCTGTAACTTTGAAGTTTTGCTACTCTTGTGAAAATATCCCAAGCAAAGATTCTCTAGATTTAGAAAGAGATCATATATTAAATGGCTTAAAATCATTTTGCTCCATCCATCCATGGTTAACAGTATGAGATAAAAAATTAAAAACCTATCAAAGATACATTTTGATTAATGAGCCTAGAGCAAGCTTCTCGAGAACTATCATTCACGGTATAACCGCCACCACCACATCCATTGTTTTGTTCAGCTAATAGTACAGAGTGCGCCTCAACTGATGAATGAGGTTTTATTTTTTAATCAGTATCATCATTAATAGATCAATAACACACAAGCTTAGAAGAATCTGCTTCCCAGAGAAATGTGAAAGCTTCCAGTGGTTTGAGGATTAGATTTCAATCACTTTCTCTGGAAGGCTATTTAATTATTAAAAACAACAATTTCTTCCCTCACTCCCCTCCCCATCCCACAATATAAGCCATTTGGAGGCAAAAAATGACCCATGACCCAGGATTATCTTGTTCTTGCTACAAACACCTACTTTGACTACTCCAATCATTTCACTTGAGAATAAAGAAGTGAATTATTTTTCACACTCCAATGTATTTTACCACCACAGACTAAAAGGGAAAACCAAAATACAGTGTCGTGGCAATCTGAGATTAAAAAAACAAAACAAAAAAAACCCAACTAGATGAAATATTTAAAATGTGCCCAGCTCCAGCTGGACCGAGGCACTGGGAATCGGGTCCCTAATGAATGACTGATAAGGACTCCGGCATTACTTTTCAGCCTTTTTTTCTTCCTTAAGAATGCATTGCTTTTCTAAAAAAACATAATTATTCACAATCAGCTTCTCTTTCGAAAGGGTGTTTGTGCTCCTACTCAAAGACAGACAATGCATTCAAAGAGGATAAGCCATTTAGTTCCTTTGTTGGAAACCATACGCCCAGGTCTAGAAACAACCTAACATGGAACTCAGCTTTCGGTGTCAGATCATCTGTGTTTGGCGAAAACTGCACTGATAATGGACACCCCCCTTAACTCCAAATGTTGCACATAAAGAAGCCAGTGTGAACACGAAGGCTCCTTCCTAAAAGGAAAAAACACTTTCCATTGGTGTAAATTCTCCCGGTGAAAAACAAATGACATCAAAGAAGGCTGTAACGGTGCTGCTGAAGGATGATGAAGAAGGTGGTGACTTTGGTCTCGAGGACTCATTATGTGTTTCTTTTCATTTCGGCAGTTGTCAAAGTCGTGGAATTCTGAATCTTGACAGTGCGCCTTTAAGAGCCCCCACGAGCGGCTTCACAGTGTCGTAAATCAAAGCACTGACCAGGCCTCTGGTCGGCTGCCAAAGGCAAGCAGCAAGACAGGCCAAACACATGTCTGTAGTTACAGTTTCAGCTGTGTACAATCAACTGCTAAATCCCTGGGTTAGGCCCTATTTGTTTTACTATGAAGGCAGCTTTTGCAGCAGTGAGTCTGGTATAATTCAGAGCTGTGATTTCTATATAAAAATCACGACTGTCCCCAAACGCACCATCGAATCCTGTGCTACTAGCCTTATTTCACCAAGCCCCGACTTGAGCTCCTTCATAAGGACTCCCCATTGGATTATCTCATTGTAGGGCAGGGACCATTAACTCTCCTCGCCTCCTTTGGTATAAGCCTATTAACTCGAACAGGGCTTGCACGGAAAGCCAGGAGGCCCACAATGGTCAAGCTAAAAGATGGGGGCAGGCTCAGGGTTTCTCTGGGCAAAGCTGCCAGCATGAAGCCCAGGCGTGGTGTGGTGTGCTGCCAAGCCCGCACGTGGGGCAGGGCCGGGGAGTGGAAGGTCTGCAGCGTGTGGGCAGAGACTAGTGTGTCTGATGGGAACCATCCAGTTTCTGAATAAATGCAACCTGGTGAAGGCCTGGTACCCCGGAACCCAGCTTGTGTTGCTATGATACAAGAGAAACCCACTGAGAGAAATCCCAAGATAAAGAAATCCTGCCTGAGAGTTCACGAGGTACAAAACAGCAGCTAACGATGGACTATGGCTTATGGATTCAGTAAGCTGGCTAAAATATAGCCCTTTCCAATCATGCCACGTAAAACAGTATGAACCGCTGGGGCCTTCACTCCAGGAGACATCAGGGAATCTATGTAGAATGAGTATCATAAAAGTTTCAGAATGTGACCCCAAGCGAATTAACACATGTGTCTGCATGCTGTAGGCCAAGAATGAATTCACCCACCACTTAATTGCCTCCAACTCACGATTTCTAAAGTAGTGTCCAGTCCTGTAGGGAAGGACTCTGTGCCTGTAAGCATTCATCAAAACACTTAACGATAATTTATGCTTTGGTGACTGGCAACTGACCTTGGGGGCATCACCGAAATATCAGGCATTTTGTGGTAGGTGGAAAAAATGATCTTACATGATACTATGAAAGGAAAAAGAAAAAAAAAAAAACAACAAACTGGGACATGATTGCTGAGGTAACACAACTATTCAAAGAAAAAAAAGGGTTTTTTAAAAAAAGTTCCAACCTCCGTTATAGAAGAACTGAAAGCCTTGTTCAGGGCTACCCTTCACTGAGATTTCCCAACTATTAACATTTTGCCACACTGGCGTTATTTCCTTCTCTTTCCTTCTCTCCTTCTGTATCGTTTCTTCTGCATTGATTGAAAATAACGTGCAGATATATGATACTTAGCAAACATATCTTTTTCTTTTAAATTCAATTTTGACTTTCATTTTCTTAATATTGCCACTTTTTAAAAAAAGACTTTTATTTATTTATTTGACAGACAGAGAGAGAGCATGAGCAGGGGGAGCGGCAGGCAGAGGGAGAGGGAGAAGCACGCTCCCCACTGAGGGACTGGATCATGACCTGAGCTAAAGGCAGACGCTTAACCGACTGAGCCACCCACGCGCCCCTTAGAAAACATTTCTCAAGAATAGGAACCTTCTTCATAATAACACCACCACTGTCATATCTTAGAAAATGAATTCAATAATGTCACTTAATATACAGTCTGTCTATATTTAAATTTCCCCAGTTCTCCTTAAAATGCCTTTTGTAACTTGCTTTTTTGATTCAAAATCTAATGAAAGTTCACATATTGTGTTTGGTTATTTTATTTCACAGGACACTTTCGAGTAGTTTAAATTTTAATGCTTTTTCTAAATGATATCAGCCTTTTATCTTAGAATCTGGCATCCTAATTGTAACACATGGAGCCTTAGGTCATGATGACCTATCTCCAAGTGCTCATTCCCTGAGGATAATGTGTCCTTTGAAGGACACCAGGAGATAAGGTGATGAAAAAAATCACCTTGTGGTAGGAAGGTTCTAGAATGGTAGGGGGCAAGAGTTGAGGTCAAAGAGCAGCAATCTCTTTTTGGCCTGAGTTACACACCTCAGTCCCCTCAATCCTCCACTCCCACCTGTATTCTCTTTCACTTTTATAACTTCTGGCAAGGCCTAGTGTGAATAAAAGATAAAGTTACAGACTACGAGGCATTTAAAAAAGGGACTTTGCTTGTATTTATTTTTTTCCTTTTAAATTTCAAGAAGATGAAAAGAGAAAGAGTTAACATTTAAATAGTCCCTTTTGCCTATAATCCTTTCTTCCCCATCGTTTTTCCTCATCTGTAAAAATGGGGAAATTTACAGCCCAGCTCAATATATAGTTTAGAACAATAGTTTAGCACAGAGAAAACCCCATGGAAGGGACTATTCTTTTTTTTTTTTGTTATTATTATTAGCTACAGCAGTATACTTCCTTAGATTTTTTTTCTCAAGTGAAATCAATGTCTACAGAAAGAAAAAAAAAAAAAAAGTCACCCAAATGGGTTTAACGGGTTCCTGGAGTCTGGGAAGGCATTAGATGTGAGAACAAATACTGGCCCCTACAACAAAGGGGATGGAGCTAGATTCCCGGAGGGTGAGGAAGAAGGGGCTGGGTGGTCAGCAGGTGCAGCCCTGCCCAGTCTTCTCCCGTCAGGAGCACCAGGTGTTAGGAGCACCAGGTGTTAGGAGCCCCAGGCTGGGCAGAGCGCTCCTCAGGACCTCTGTGTTGGCTTTTCAGCCCTCCCCAGCTTTCACTATTCTTCCTTAAGGTTAGCACCAAGCTTGTGAGGAAAAGAGTTGCAGGGAGAACTTGATTATTACAGTTCTAACAAAAGCCCAATCTAAACAAGCAATGTTCTCTGCTTCTCAAAACACAAACCCACAACTCACACTCTTCACGAAATGGCAACGTGACACAGGACAAAATCCACGTCACCCTCCCTGTCTGCTTCAAGTAACTGACCTTCTCCAAGGGTCCTCTGCAACAAGTCATGTTTGGCTTGAAGCTTTGTGATGAGATTACTACCTTCCAAATATTCTCTGAGTTTCTGCAAAAGGAAAGATTCGTTTTTAGCTTTAAAAAATGTGTATCATGTCAAGGGACTTTCCATGGGATGTCTAAAATCCAGCCACTTTTATCTGCTAGATTCTAGAACCTTGCTACTCCGAGGGCAGTCTGACACAGACCAGCATCACCCACCATCGTTTGGGAGCCTATCAGGGACACAGGCTCCCGGATCCCTCCTTCCCCAGACCTGTTGAAACCAGAACCCACAAGGTTACAAGCCCTCCTGGGGACACGTATGTACGTTAGAGTTTAAAAGTGGTCTTAGAGCAGTCCTCTTTAAATCTGAGGAACTTTTACAAAAGTACTAACTCCCAAATCCTATCTCAGACCAAAAGAATTGGCAACTCTGAAGACAGATGGGAGTCCGTATTTTAATAAAGAACCCAGGTGATTCCAATCAAACTCTAGATGCTTGTTTGGGGACCCCAGCTCTGAGCCCCAGTGGTGGCTGGGAAGCGACAGACGCACCATGAAGTAGAACTGCTCTGTCTCCTGCTGGTTTGCTCTTCTCTTGGCGATGCTGGGCTTACTCAGGTAGGTCTCAGAGACCGTAGACTTCACAGACTCTGTGGAGCGGCTATGCTGGAAGCATTCAGAGACATCGTAGTCCTCGATGGTGACCATATCTTGTATGGTCTGCAAGGTGGCTTCGGTCGTTTTTTTCACCTGGGGACAGGAACACATTTCTCCTGTTACCCCATGATTTCATGAATCCCACACTCAGTGAGAATCTACTCTGTCAGGCGGAGGTGAAGACATAGGCCCTGCCCCAAGAAGAGGAGAGAGATAGGGAAACAACACCCACTACCACCAATGTAAAGAGAGGCTCTCTTCAGAGACATTCTCAAGAGTATATTTCTGAGTATTTGGATCCTTGTAAGTCTCATGTATCACTGGGTACTCTCTCAGTTACATTTTTTTTTTAAGATTTTATATATTTATTTGACAGACAGAGATCACAAGTAGGCAGAGAGGCAGGCAGAGAGAGAGAGGAGGAAGCAGGCTCCCCGCCGAGCAGAGAGCCCGATGAGGGGCTCGATCCCAGGACCCTGAGATCATGACCTGAGCCTAAGGCAGAGGCCCAACCCACTGAGCCACCCAGGCGCCCCTCAGTTACGTTTTTTAAAGTAACCTTCTAAAATTGGAAATTAAACTACACACAAGAAATACACACACCATAAGTGTACTGCTTGATGAATGACCAGAGTGATCACACACTTATGTGACCACCACTCAGATCAAGACATACAGTCCCCTACAAACACCTTTGTGCTTCTCCCAATTACCACAAGCCCCTTTTTCCTCCCCCAAAGTAGCCATTATCCTGATTGCTAACATCACATAGTAGTTTTAGCCTTTTTCTAGTTCATACACATGGAATCCTATAGCATGTATAATTTTTGTCTTGCTTCTGTTGTTCAACTTTATGGAGTAAGATTTATTCATTTCTTGGGAGTATAGTATTTCATTGGTGAATGCTGAATATTCATTGCAGGAATGCATCGTAATTCATTCCTTTTACTGTTGATAGATGACTGATTTCTAGTTTTGGGCTACTGAGAATAATACTGACATGAACACACGTCTAGCATACATGACTGTTTTCCAAAACTATTGTTCTGATTTGTATTCCCACTAGCACCGTAAGACAGTTCCTGCTACTCCACATCAAGTGTTGGCATTATCAGCTTATAAAATTTAAACCACTGTGTTGCGTGTGTAGTGGTATCTTATTGTGGTTTTAATATGCATTTCTCTGATGCCTGAGATTGAGCTCATTATAATACGTTTAAGATAATTTGGATTTCCTCTCTTGCAAATACTTTGTTTAAATCTCCTGCTCAATTTTCCACTGGGTTATAAGTCTTTCTCTTATTTATTTGTAGATATGGATATGAGCCTTTTGTTAGTTACAGGTACTGCAAATATCTTTTTCCCACTCTGCGCTGGCTTTTCACTCTAGAATCCAAATAAACTGTCTCTTTTAATGTAATCAATTTACCAATCTCTTCCTTTATGATTAGTACTTTTTGTGTCCTATTTAAGAAATATTTCCCTATCTCAGAGCCATAAAGATACTCTTCTATGTTATCTTCTAGGAGCTTTTGTCTTCTACATTTATTTTGCACAATTAGGTCAGAGTTTACCTTTGCTTATCAAAGTCTAGTGTAAATCAATAGCTTTATCCTTCTCCCAAAGTACAGAATTTAGAGGACCTTAACTTCATTTACTTCTCCTTATTTATATGCTAGTTTATAATGTATTATAATAAAATTTGTACATAAATATTAACACATATTTAAAAACATCAGTTATATATAGTCAGTATTTATTATGCTTTATCCATATATGTTACATTATTTGACCTCCTTTCCTTATATGTGTGTGTGTGTGTGTGTGTGTGTGTGTGTATTTTTAGATTATTTATTTATTTGACAGAGAGAGACACAGTGAGTGAGAGAGGGAACACAAGCAGGGAAGTGGGAGATGGAGAAGCAGGCTTCCCATGGAGCAGGGAGCTCAATGCAGGCCTTGATCTCAGGGAACCCTGGGATCATGACCTGAGCCACCCAGGCACCCCACTTTTCCTTATATTTTTAAGAGTACTCCCTGCCTTTAGAAATTCCTTTTAGCATGAGTCTGCTGGTGGTGAACTCTTTTTTCGTTGACTAGAAAATGTCTTTTATTTCACTTTCACTTATGAAAGTATTTTTTCCTGGTTGGCAGTTTATTTTCTTTCAATACATTGAAGATAACCACTACATTTTCTTGCTTCTGTGTTCCTGTTGATGAGAAGTTTGCTGTGAGTCCACTGCTACTTTGCTTGCTTCTCCAGCTGCTTTTAAAGTTTTCTACATTAAAAAATTTTTTAAAAATTTATTTGAGAGAGAGCACAAGCAGAGGGGAGGGACCGAGGGAGAAGGAGAAGCAGACTCCCTGCTGAGTAGGGAGCCTAAATTGGGCTCGATCCCAGGACCCCAGATCATGACCTGAGTCGAAGGCAGATGCTCAACCAAATGAGCCACCAGGTGCCCCTAAAGTTTTCTACAGTTTTACCATGACGTGTTTATGTAAGGATTTAAAAAAATATATTCTACCAGGATTTTTTTTGACTTCTTGAATTGTGTGATATTTTTCATAAACTCTAATAAATTTTCAGCTTTTATCTCTGCAAATATTGTCTCCTTTTCTATTGTTTTCCTTTCTGGGAGTTTAATTAGTATGCTAAACATCACTGTGTTCTCTTTATCTCTTACCCTTCACTTCAAATATTTTTTAAAAGATTTTTATATATTTATTTGGAAGACAGTGATCAAGTCCATGCATGAGTGGGGGGGCGGAGTAGCAGAGGGAGAGGGGACAAGCAGACTCCTCACTGAGTGGGGAGCCCAATGTAGGGCTCAGTTCCAGGACGCTGAGATCATGACGTGAGCCTAAGTCAGATGCTTGACTGACTGAACTACAGGTGCCCCTTTCTTTGTATTTTCTATCTTTTTGTTTTTCCATGCTGCATTTTGATTATTTTCTTTTGATTTGTCCTCCACTTTGACAATTCACTCTTCAGCTGTGTTGAATCTGATGTTAAAACCATCCACTGATTTGTTAACTTGGGACACTGTAGTTCTCACTTTTAGAATCTCCATGTGGTACATTTTAAAATCTGTTATTTCACTGTTTTTAGTTTATGGTTCCCTACTGAAATCTAAGCTTGGCTTTTTTAACTCCTTGAACACAATAAGTGGCTCTTTTATAGTTCATTTCTGATAATGTCAATATTTGGAGTTCCTGTGGGCATCTCTTTGATCTGATGTCTGTTTGCTGGATGTTTTGGTAGAGTTATTTGAAGTCGGTAGAGTTATTTGGTAGAGTTATTGAAGTTAGGGTGAGACTATCATCTTCTAGAGAGAATGTCTATTTATTTTTCCAAGCAGATCAGGGAACTAATAGTTCAAAATCACCGTGCTTTATTTTTGTTCAAAATATTTGATGCTCTTCATTTTGGAAACATATGGTTCTCTGTGCCATGGACTTCAGGCTTGGCCAGACATCTTGTTCAGGACAGTGAAATGTGAAATAATTAACTGAGTGACTCAGTTCATTATTACAGGAAGTAGAAATTTCAATTACTTTTTTTTTTTAATCAACAAAATACTGTTTAGGGAAGAATTAATGCCAATCAGTGTTAGTTCTGATCTAAAAGAGATCATGTGATAGAATAAAACAAAAAAGTACAAAGAAAATTAACAGACTTAGTCATTATTGCTGGGGATGTGCACGATGCAAAGGAGAGAGATTACTGGGGAAAAAAAGCAGTATTAAAGGTTATTTAAAAAAATACTGTAAGTGGTTACTTTAAGGAAGTCATGATTATATATTTATAGGCTGAGTGAAAAGACTCACCCCTCCAGAGGTAACATCAGCAAGATGGCAAAATAGGAGATTCCCCTGCACATGTTCTTCCCTGCCCCACAAGTAATCTGGTGGCCATCCACGGACAAAATTGCATTTGTGGGAGATTTGGGATCCAGGTAAGAATTTGTAAAACCTTGGTGGAGCCCAGGACTGAGGAGAACCAATTTGAGAAAGCAGGCCTGGGCCCAGGTGGGAGGCTTCCCAACCCTGGTCCTGGCTACTGACCCAGAAATAGCCGGTCCCTCTGGGGACTCCGTTATGGTCCTATCTGGCTTTGGTCCTGTCACCAGAACTACCTGCCAAAGGATCCAGGAAGAGTCACATCTATTTGTGCCTCAATAGGCCTACTGACCTTGGTCCCAGCTGTGGACCGTGACCATGATGTAGTTCCAGTCCTTCTCAGCCCTGGTCACGGAACAATCTTCCATGTACAGTGTCTTGTTAGAAGGCATGCTTCTCAGTGCTCTTGGAGGCAGACCTGCTGACCTCAGTCTATCTGTAGATCTCGAAGTGGCCCTGGAACCTGGCTCCAGGTGGGAGACATGTCTGTCTATGCATCCTGGAGGGGGCCTGGGACTCGGAGCCAGCTGCCTTCAACTAGGGTGTAGAGCTAGTCCTATCTGTTAGGAACCTGTTCAGGAAACTGGTGGGTGTCACACCCATTCAAGCATCTGGTAACAGACTATCTGTGGACCAACTGCGGGCCCTGAAGTGGACCCTTGCCCCAGCACCAGACTTACTGCCCCAGATCTTAAAGGCGGTATATTTCCCAGGGGACCACACAGGATCCACACCCAGCAGGTTCCACAGTAACAGGCCCACAAACTGTGGACCCAGCAGCAGCCACGTGATTCCTGTCATTGTCAACAACACCGTTTTTCTTCCTTTACTTAACTTTCTTCTTTGAAGCAAGAGTGTCATGGTTAAATTTGGAATTGTCAGGAAGAATAAAGAATGTGACAGAAAACACCAGACAGGATGGCTGGGACTACATACTAACCCATGGGATGTTCTCGATGAAGAATAACACCAGCTTCTGACACAGAAGTCATGTTAATAAGCCACAAGGAGGGAATATAATGAGGTAACTACAAAACAGCTAATATGAGGTTTGTAATGAGCCCTATTAGCAGCAGGAAAACGCAGTTAGCTTTGGTAGGAAAGGCCAAAAACGTGACAAGGCATTTATGAAAAACCCGAAGAATGTACAGCACTGGAGAGGAGTGCCCATGTGCTGAGAATCAAAATGAGTGACAGAGAAGAGGTGACTTTTGTGGGCGGCTGCAGACCAGCTCTTTGGCCCTTTTACTCACAGGACATTATGATCACTGGAGAAAACAAAATGGTTGTTTTGATTTTATTCTCTAAACACACTGTATTAGTTTCCCAGGGCTGCCAGAACAAAGTACCACACGCTGGGGGCTGCAACAACTACAGTTCATTGTCCTACAGGTCAAAAGTCTGAGAGCAAAGTGCTGCTTCCTCTCTAGTGCCATGAGGGAAGGTCTGTTCCAGGCTCGCATCCTTGACCTGCGACGGCCATCTTCCGTGTCTCTTCACACAGCCTCCTCTGTCTCTGTGTGCCAACTTTCTCTTTTGACAAGGACGCTGACCACGCTGGATGAAGGCCCACTCGAATGACCTCACTTTACCTCTGTGAAGACCCTAGTGTTCAAATAAAGGTCTATTCTAAAGTACTGGGGTTAGTACTTCAACATATACATTTTGGGGGGGACACAAGCCAACCTCTAATACACACATTATTTTATGACACTGTGCCATGCACATTACACAGGCCTAGTCATCCTTGACGGCTCATCAATCCAACTGTGAAGATGACCCACAGCTCTGGGGGAATCACTCCAGAGCTAGCTTGGAAAGAAAGGAGCAGAGGGAAGGAACCCCAAGCTGAAATCCCTGTAACAAAGATTAAAAGCAAACGTGAAGAATGTGTAAAAGACCATGCAACATTAGATGGAAACAAACGTGGAGAATATTTATAGTGAGAAAGATAATCAATGATTATTTAGCTGTAGGGTGCTTTCAAAGTGTTGTCTTTAAAAGGAATGTTTACTAATGTTCTAAATAAAAAAGCTAAACTTCTAAGAAAGAAAAAGAAAACAAAAAAATGGAAATGAACTTGTGTGGGCAGCAGGCTCTGCTCTGACTCTATGTGTACAACCCACAGTGAGCACTAATAAACGTGTGTTGGCCGGCCGGCCAACGGGAGGCTGAAATCATCAGGAGGGAGGTACAGTGATGTGAGCGGGCAGCATACTGAAACTGAAAGCTCATTTCAAAAGGCTGAATAAGCAAATGTGAAGTTGTGGGGAGACAACAATCCATTATAAATCTGTTTATAATATAAATATAAATCTGTTTATTATAATCTGATTATAAATCACCCCAAATTCAATGAAGCCCTTTTTGAAACTTCATTCAGCTTCTACTACATGCGAGTACACTGAGGCCAGTTCATAAATGCTTACTGCTCACTTTGTTCTAAGGCTGGTGCCGCAAACACAAATGTCTTCAAGGGCCAAGGAAGTAGTGGAAATAAGGCAAGTGGGGTGAGTGGGGAGCATGGCAAACAAGAAGCACATGCTCTGTGTCTAAACACAGCATCTCAGCTCCAGCCAGATATCCTCCTGCAGAAATGCAGGTCTAGTATGATCAGGCTTTCTAATTGTTTAGAAACTGGAAACAGATTTAAAAAACTTCTAATTTTTGAAATGACAGCTACTAATTTTTAAAAATCAAGCACTTCAGAGCAAACAAAATTTATCTATGGCGTGTAGGCTCTTAGCATGGAAATTCCCTTCTAAAACAGCTTCCTACAGTTTCAAATCATGCCCATTATGTGTAGTTGTTTAAGATTTGGTGAAAACGTTCATGTTCTATTTAGCTGCCCTGTCCACACTTTTTGTAAACTTGGATGAAGTTCTCTTTCAACTTTTATCTTTTCACGGGGAAGTCGTAATTATTTTTAGTTAACTGAACTCTTTCCCAGTGAATTTTGTTCTTTGTGTGTATCTGTCTGTGCAGAGGCAGAGACATGCTTCTTTCCTTGTATATTTTGGTTTGAGAGCAATGTGTCAATTTTCTGACCTCTAACATTGGAGGATCAGAGGCAAATTATTTATGGTAGGGAAGAGCGCTATAAAGGACTCTATATCAGCAATGATTGCTATTTTGTTCCCAAGTTACATCCCTTATTTTTTGTATTATATAAATGACTTGTTATAGTCTGGCTCTCATGCAAGACAGATGCGAACTGTGACATTCATCTCTGTACTCCCCACACCTGGCAAAATATGTGGAGCGTAGAAGTTGATGAACAAATATTTATTGTACTGAAATGAACTGCCTCACAGTGTCAAAATCCCTTAGTTGGCTCCCAAAGTCTCTTGTCATCTGATTTCAGCTTCACCTTTGGCTTATCCTCAAGGAGAGCCTGGATGATGACCAAATTCCTCTGGGAAATCAAGGTTCTTCCAGGACATTTTGAAATACACCGAAACAACTTTTCCTCCTTCTCTATCAATGGAAATCTACTGATTGTCAAAAATCCAACTTAAATCTTCCTTTCGTTGGGAATCCCATTCTATGACAGTGCAGTAGTCCCATATCCAACAGATCATAAACCACCAGTCATGCTCACTGGAAAAGTCAGGACAATCTAATTCATTTGTTTCTATGAGAAATGCTTTTAACCCTCAGAAAGCACTGTTTGCCACTAATCAAGTTTATAAGGACAATGCTTCTCTACATTATGCCCCAAAGGGCATACCTTAAAGGTCAAAACCTCAAAGGCCTTCAGAGGCCAGACAGGCAACAGAAATGGAAGAGTCCAATGTAAGAAAATTGGGAGCTGAATGACTATGGCAAAGTAGAATTCAAATATCCCACTCTTCCCTTCGTGAGGCAATGCAAGGTCAGAGTCACCAGACTTGCTCATTTTCAACAGGCCAAAACCGTGGGAGCCAAACAAAACAGGTCTGTGGGCTGCCAGTTTTGACCTTGTGTAGAACACATTATTTTCCTAGAGTTTAAAGACTGTTTCCAAGTAAAACAGCAGAAGGCTACACACACACACACAAATTGGAACTCACTACATGTACAAACTGTAGCTCTATTAGGTTCCAGTAAACTGCACCAGGCAAGTGTTTGGTGATGCCTCACCAAAACCCTAAGCTCGAAAACACCTCCAGAAGAGCAATAGCTTTCCTTTGGAAAGGCTCATCTGTGAGACTTTACACAACAACTGAAGTCTTAATCACATGGTTGCATCTTAAATACACATGTGTGGAAGAGGGCTGGTTTGGTTCTGCTAGAAAGAATGGAAGCCAGAAAGCTGCAATGGATTTTGACCAAACTAGACTGGTCTAGAAACACATCACTGTTTTTTTTTTTTTTTTTTAACAGAACCAAACACATGTTCATAGAGTTCATAACATCCCATGGGATTAAAATAAAAGGGTACCAAAGTGCATTCTGGTTAATTTACTTCCTCAAGGTGACTTACTGTTATTGTTTTCTTTTTCTGTCTCACATTCCTTCCTTTCAGGAATTATCTCTAAAAATACGTATTTCTGTTGGAGCTGTCAGTTAAAGGGCTCTATGCTGATCCACGAAAGAACCCCACTTCTTGCATGTAATGGCTGGTCTGGAAGTACCTGTGACTGAGGTCAGGCCAATAAAGGATCCTAGTTCAGAGATAAAGACCCTGGGCTGGGGTGAGAGGGCAAGTTATAGGGACCATGTAGTTTGGGCTATCCCAGGATGAGGGAAAGCACATGTGAAGATATAATTTCAAAATGATGGAAAGAGAGATTCCTGATAATATCATCAGAATACAGATCCCATCATGCCTGAGGCTATGCAAACATTGACCAGTAAGTAAACTTTCAATCTTAAGTTTGATTTGGGTTCTTATATGTGATGGCTGAGAGCCTTAGAAACATTTGTGGTATATTTTATTGAAGGAGATCATGGATACAATTAAATTAATTTCAGAAACAGGCAGCTGAACTGTATGACTGCTTTCTGGTTCAACATATATTTACTTCACATTTTATGTTCTATTCACCTAAAGCCTCTAATATCAGCAAATAAACAGTTTCCTATTCTCATTCAAGTATGCTTTTAAAATATGATTTCTGTACTATTGTATCAGTAATGCCATGCTTAGTACCAAAAATCTAAAGAATATAAAAAAGCAAAGAAATTACTCATTTCAGAAGTTAGGATTAAATTAACATGTCAGTCAAGTTTTATTTCCACACTATTGTGTATTCTTGGACACATATATTAAATTTGATCATTTAGGGGAACTGTTTTCAGTACAAATTACAAATTTAAAAAGAAAAGGTGTGTTTATGTGTGTGTGTGTAGTGAATCCCTGGTAAAGGTTTCATCTTTGGTATAATATAGAATCTTTGCATTTATCTGTGACAAGGGGTATTTTAGGAACCAGCTGAAAATGCATGATGAAGAGATTGCATTGGGAATGTTCAATATGCCTAGGTCACGTGACAATGTCTTCCAGTGCATGTTAGAATCAGATTACTTGTGGGGCAGAAAGCGTGCTCACCTCCTCGTTCTCGATTTTGAGCGTGGCCAGTCGGGACTGCAGCTGCTGGTACCTGAGCATGAGCTCTGCCTGGACCGGCTGCTGGGCACTGACCTGACACACCTGGTCGGGGGAATCAGAAACCACAGTTACAACAGGGCCATCAAGCTGGCCTCTAGAGGCACGGGTTTCCTACTTAGATGCTGCCTGAGTCACACAGATCCCCTCTAGATTCCAGGGACATCTTTACTCCGAAGAGCCGCCTCAAAACTTTGGTGTTAAATACTGACTTGCTACATGAGTGGTGAGAATGGAATGCAGCTGTGTGGCCTGGATACCACAGGGGAAGACGGCAGCTGCGGGAAGCTTCTCGAGATCTAAGAATGGGCCAGTTGCTGGAGAGGGAGCGTTGATGCTGACGTCTCACTGGTGGAATTCGGAATGACTGCGGGGCAGAGTGCAAAGGAGGACCCACGTGAACTACACAGGCAAAAGGAGGGGAGGTGGCAGAGCCTACTGGCTGCAGTCAGAGAGGACGGAGGTAGCTTACTCGCCCTCAGCTTCCTTCTCTGTGAAAAGGGGATACTAACATTTCCTACACCATGGGGTCCTTGCAGGGATGAAATAAGCTCATGTATAGAGAGTACTTAGAACACTGCCTGGAATAGATTAAGACTCAGGAAATGTCACTATTAGCATCTTTCAACCATGGCTTGCCTTACCAGTATCAGCCAAATCATGGGATTCACCATGAATGTGAAGGCGCTACTTCTTGCAGTCTGTAGCAGAAACATATTTTGGCTCTGATCTCAATAATGGTTAAGGTCAAAATTAGAGCCTTCTAATTATATTATATTTAGTTATATTAAAATTGCACCAGAAATGAAGTTTCTCTTCATTTTCCTTGTCACAGAAATGCTCTTGGCACATGGGGGTTTCCTTTTATGGAGTCCCCCAAATATTACAGAGATCGCTGCTCCCTGGCAGAACCGGCCTTAAAAAAAGGGGCAACTGACTAACTTTTTAAAAAATAATAATAGTAAAAAAAAAAAAAAGGAAAGAAAGAAAAAAGAAAAACTGCTAACCCAATCACTTCTCTGTGCTATTTTATCCTTCTATGTTTGACATATCCATAACTGAAAAATTGTAACAGTAATCATTTAGTTTTGGAAACATAACTTTGGGTGGGGTAAGCAACCTGCCTCTCAAATTCATGTGCTCTTCGCATAAAAACCGCTTACTATTTTTTATTGAGTAATTTACTCTATCAGATCAAGCAAATATAAAATTGGGTTAGAAATACAGCAGGCACAAGCCTATCTTGTGAATCTTAACACTAGGTGTCTCAGAAAAAATATGACGCTAAAGAAATCTGTCATCCCGATTGTATCTATTTTTAAAAACACACTGTGACCACAATAAGCTAATACTGAGTTCTTAATCTATGAGTATTGTTTTGCACAGCTGGAAGACCAAGTGCTAGCTAGCGTGCACATTAATTGGTTCTTCTTGCTTTCGCGGCCGCAGACAATAAAATACAGCACTGCAACTCGTACACAGCTTAGATGGATATTCTTCTTTGGGTAAAATAGGACAGAAAGCTAAATTCATACAAAGAACCCGAGATACATCATTTCTAATGCTCATTTTACCAGTTTGGAGACAACTGGAGTCTTAAAAAAAATGTTCTGCATTTTCCTCCCTCTCTCCCATGCTCCTGTGATTTGTAATTATTTTTCTTTATGGGGATCTTTAAATGAAGATTATCAGAAGTCTTCAGAGAGATTCTACTGGGCCAGCAAAATGTTTCCTTTTGAATTTAGATCTGAATGTCTAGAGGTAGAGGAAGGACTAACTATCCTGAGACAGTGTAGTGCTTACAAATGAGTTTGTCCACAGGGTTGGCCTCTGCGGGCATCTGGTTGCAGCTGGGGATGGGGCGGGATGGAGCAGGGAAGGTGGTGGTGGCCAATCTTAGGATATAACTAGCTAAGATCCCAAACAAAGGCAGGGGAGAGAACAGAACTGGGAAATCTGACAACTCTTAGGTTGAAGCAAGTGAAGAGTAACTAACTAATATAATGAAAGGACAATATTCATTAGTTTTGAAACAATCAATCACTGACCTCATCACCCATGTGAGACTGAAACTCAAATTTCACTGGTGGACAGAACGCGGCAGGGTACATCTCCATGAATCTCTGCTTATCACTCCTGGGCTCCAAATTGTCAACTGCATTCTCAATAATGTCTAAGCCTTCATGTCTGGAAGTTTCAAGATTATACTCTGCAGAGAGATATGTTCTCAGGGCTCTGTTCAGACTTGCATGGTAGCCAAGATCACAGCACTTAAAAAAATAAAACAATACCATATATAAAAATTAACTCAAAATGGATCAAAGACCTACATGTGACAGCAACAACTATAAAATTCTTAGAAGAAAACATAGGGGTAAACCTTCATGATCTTGCATTAGGCATTGGTTTCTTGGATAAGGCATCAAAAGTACAAGTAAAAAAAAAATTAGATTTCATAAAATTTGAAGACTTTTGTGCTTCAAGGGCACTATCAAGTAAACAGATAACCCACAGAATGGGAGATTTTTTGTAAGCCATGTATTTGATTTAAAAAATTTGTATTTAGAATATATAAAGAAATCCTACAACTCAATAATGAAAAGACAAATAGTGCAACTAAAAAATGAGCAATGGAACTGGACAGACATTTCCTAAAAATTATATACGAATGGTCAACAAGCACATGGAATGATGCTCAACATCATTAGTCCTCAGGGAAAAGCAAATTAAAACCACTTCACACCCACTAATAGGGTTTTAATAAAGATGACAGATAACGGTCATTGAGGAGGATGTAGGGAAATTGGAATCTTTTATATGCTACTAATGGGAATGTGAAATATTGTAGCCTCTTTGGAAAAGTCTGGCAGTTCATCAGAGAGTGAAACACAGAGTTAGCATATGACTTGGCAGTTCCATTCCTAGTAATATATACAAGGAAAATAAAAACAAATTTTCACACAAAAAAACTTGTACATGAGTGTTTATAGCAGCATTATTACTAATAGCTGAAAAGCAGAAACAATCTAAATGTCCAACTAATAAGTAAACAAAATGAAATGTTATCTGGTTATAACAAGAAGGGAGTGCAGATACATGCTACGACATCTAGGATCAACCTTGAAACGTTAAAATGTTAAGTGAAAGAAACCAGCCCCCAGAGACCACACCTTGTAGGATTCCATTTATAGGAAATGTCCAGAATAGGTAAATCTATAGAGATAGAAGGTAGATTAGTGGTTGCTAGGGAATGGAGGACCTGGAGGGTGGTGACTAAGGGATATAGGATTTCTTTTTGAGTAATGAAAATGTTCTGTAATAGATCATGGTGATGGCTACACAAATTTGAATATGCTAAAAGCCAATTGCAGATTTTTTAATGAATGAACTATATGGTATATGAATAGTATCTCAAGAAATGTGTCAAAAAATAAAAGAGGCGGGGCGCCTGGGTGGCTCAGTGGGTTAAAGCCTTTGCCTTTGCCTTGGGTCATGATCTCAGGGTCCTGGGATCAAGCACCGCACCGGGCTCTCTGCTCAGCGGGGAGCCTGCTTCCTCCCTTCTCTCTCTCTGCCTGCCTCTCTGCCTACTTGTGATTTGTCTGTCAAATAAAAAAAAAAAATCTTAAAAAAAAATAAAAGAGGCAAAACAAAATACTGAAAGGAAATAATGAAAAAAAATAGCATTTAAATTTGTTCATGCTTATTGAGACTATGATTAATTGAAATCTTTGTAGGATGCAAACACAATAACTGTGATATTTTGGATTTGTATAATTTACTGATGACTCCAAAATAATCTGTACTCTTTCAGAAGTGAGAAGAACAGGTTTGAATCTGCCAAAAAAGTTCAGGAATAATGTCTTCTTTCTTATCCCTAGAAAAAAATTCATAAATAAAAAACGACTGCCAAAGTCCTTTCACTGGAGATAGAATTTTGGGATTCTTAAATTTTCATTACCTTTTATTTGTATTTGCATTTATCTTTTTCATGTTGCATTTTAAGAGAATATAACTGAAATAATATAACTCTGGGTACTGATCAGTTATAAAATACTGAAAGAATTTTACATTTGTACATAGATATAATATAAATTTTTTAAAGAGGAAGTGGTCTATAAAGGTATAAAACCAGGGCATCCCTATATTGTTCTAATGCAATTCAATCAATTCAATTTGATTCAATTCAACCCACTAATTGGCCATCTATTAGGTACCTGGAAATTTGCTAGGCTCCAAGAATATGAAGACTGGAATACAGTAAAACATAACCTCCATTTTCAAGGAATTTGCATATAAGTTATTCATTACTTTCCTGCTAAGATAGTCGTAGAGGGGCACAAAGGAAGTAACCTCGTACAAAGGACACACCCACCAGGATGGGAACCATCAGAACGGCCTTTACGAAGGCACAGATTCAATTCTACCCTCATCCTCCAATTTTAGAATTATTAAATTTGGGACTTTTCTGTAGAGATATTCTAAAATCTTGCTATTCAAAGTGTGGTCTGTAGATCATTAGCATCACCTAGAACTTGCTAGAAATGCAGAATCTTGGGCCTCAGCCTTGACCTGATGAATTAGAATCTGAAGTTAAAAACAAAACCAAACCCATAGGTGTTTATATGCACATTAAAGTTTGAGAAGCACCACACTAAAACTTCAATTAAAAAAAGATCCCAGGGGCACCTGGGTGGCTCAGCGGGTTAAAGCCTCTGCCTTCGGCTCAGGTCATGATCCCAGGGTCCTGGGATTGAGCCCCGCACTGGGCTCTCTGCTCAGCAGGGAGCCTGCTTCCCCCTCTCTCTCTCTGCCTGCCTCTCTGCCTACTTGTGATCTCTCTCTGTCAAATAAATAAATAAAATCTTTAAAAAAAAAAAAAGTCCCAAAATCCTGTCCACTGGGAGTGCTATTTCTCTGAGTGGGCAAGAGAATCAACGTGAGTTAAGTATTATTTGATTTAAAAGAGCAGAGAGAAGCTGCCTTATCACAATTACAAATACAAGCAAAATACAATTGTGAAATGCGGAAGTCTCATCATGGGTACATTTTCAGTGGAATCAGCTGCACTTGAATATAGAGAAAAATTTCCAGTTAATTAAAAAATTCTAGGCTCAGATGAGCAAAGTCCTCTTTTATTTCATTTGCTCCTCGAAATTCGTAAAGGTTCCATGTAGCATTTTATATACAACAGAGGGACTGAGTCATTCCACATTCCAGTAATACCTCGTCTTGTGCAAACACGAATGGGTAAAGGAAATGGCCTAGTTTCTTTGAAATGTACTTGTGCTTCAGAACACCCCACTACTCCGAAAAAAGACAGGTTCGGCTTGATAATAATGAAGCAAATCACATAAGCTGCTTTATTTTATGAGTACTGGATCCCAATGGGAGTACCTAGAAAATTGATACTAAGGAAAGAAACAACCTAGAGAAAAAGCCCCCCTCTAAACTGAGTCTCTTTTCAGCTTAGAAAGGAAGAAAGAGAGGAAGAACAAAGGAAAAAGAGGGGAAAAAAAAAAAAAAAGAAATTCAACCCCAACTACCTAATTGAAGTAGGAAAAAACACACGCTAAGTTTTTATTATTCCCGGACTTAAACCACTCTGTTCCTCAAATTTCTGAGTTGCTTCTTTGGGGAGTAAATGTCACAAATGTCCTGTGCCTGCCTCCACACTCAGGTCACCAGGTGGATTTGGTGGCACAGGACCTAGCAAGGTAGCTGCTTTCCCTGGCGGTTTCCTAATAGGGTGCGGAGAAGTATGCATGTGGCTTTGTAGCCAGTCCAGGGGGCCCCCTAGGTGTCTTCTGGACTTGAATGCTATACCCCAGGTGGAGGTTTCTATGATGAGCTTGATGGACAATTTCCATCTTTGATCCCTACAGAGCTTATCAGTCTGGAAAGCCACTTAATTAGCATGATTCTGTTACTTCTGATATGCAATGTTTTCTATGCTCTAGGTTTTTCAAGTGTCCTGGACTTTAAAGGAAACACGAATAAAATTTTTATTCAAGGTCTCCTGGGACAGCAAGGATGTCACAGAATCGTCTTTTCTCCGAACTGGATGCTAAAATGACACTGGCTATGTTAAGATTCACGATACTTGGTTAAAAGGCCTAAAGTAATTCTATGGAGGTTATGAATTATTAATGTCAGTATGAAAGACCAGCTTCTGCACAGAGCTGAGTTATAACCCAAGTGCATTTAATGATGAAAATACACAAGAAACCAATAAGATATTTTATGAAAACAAAACAGTGATCTTCTGAATGAAAAACTGAATGGGTACATAAAATTATGGATTAAAGCTGGGGAAGGAAAGAGTAATGGAAGTAGAAGGGCATTTTTTGGTTTTGTTTTGTTTTTTAATATTCTAACAGCTGCCAAGATAGATCTCACTAGGTATTATAAGTCTAAATCACCACAGTAAGCTAACTTCTTTAGGTAAAAGGGTTGCAAATCATATCAAAAATAAAGATGAAATTTAGGTTTTGAGGACTGTGACAAATTCTTTGACTTGTTCCAAAGGCTGCGGGGCAGCTGAAATATTCTTGGTGGTTTTACAGTCACATATAAATGATCACAGCTATTCAGGGAGATGACCTTTGTTTATTTGTTTGCATATACTCTTATGACATAAGTAGTCCTGCTGGGTAGAAGGCTGGTCCAAGATGGGAGTGAAGATGATGGATTCCAATGGAAACAAGTCCCACACATGTGCTTCCACAACAGTAATAGCCAATGTCATGTGCAGGGCAGCCCTGGAAGTGGCTGGAAGGCAGCCCCAAGCTCCAGGTGACTACGGAATTAAACAGCTGTCACGAGGATGGAAAGGGAGGGAACTCTTCTGCGGCAGTATTCCGTCTTAACTTCATCATTCCTGCCACTATCTGCGAGGCTTCCATGATCTTTTGTCCTGGGTTCCATCTCTGGCTTTTCATTAAGCTTTGGCTTTGACCCTTCCAGAGCCATGGACATTGGGTAAAGACTTGATCTACCCCTTGTTTTCGGTCTTTTCTACAATAGTGCAACCCAAGCAAACAACTGTAAAAACAACTTTCACATAACCATGGGTAGGATTTCCAAGGGCCAGAAATAGGTAACTTCACAGCTTTTACTGCAAATGAAGAAAGCTGACTTCTTCTGAATAAATTACCTCTGTCCCTTACTATTTTCCTCTCTAGCTACTCAGTGCTTCACCTCAGAAACCACAAACTTGTTTTGTGAGAGATGGGCATCTCAAGTGACTGAACTGGATGTTTAAAATTCT